GCTCAGGAGGGAAGCTGAACTGATTCCTCCTGAAACCACTGACAGAGCCAGGAAAAAAGAGTGCTGAAAGAGGGAAGTTTTGCTGGCCAGCGCGCTCTTTGAGGTGCAGTGACGTCATTTGGTATCAGCCGGCTGCCCCTGCAATCCTACAAGCTGGTCCGAACACCGATCCAGCAGCGGCCCATCGAACCAGTGGATTGTCACTTGACATTTGCGTGATTAACGTGAAACGAGCGCTCAGACGAGCCGATCAGATTTCCTTGTGTGAGCACACAGAAGCAAAGCCTACCGTATCTCGGGTAAGGATCAAGTGCCACCTCAGTGAAAGCGTATCATTCGAACTGTAAGATGTGATACGCCTTTCAGCGCAGCACACGTGTTCTTCTCCGACCACAGCCTGCTTCTTTCAGTGCTCTAAGAAAACCACACGGTTTTGGGACAGCGTATTGCGTGGGCCGATGGCGTAGTCAGTTTCCGGCAAATACAAATGCACTCTCAGCCTCGTCATCCGGTATAAATATGAATTTTTTTTTCGCTTCGTTTTCTATTCTTATAGTGAAATTTAGCAATTCTCTATTTATTAAAACACTTGTTCAACAAAATTTTATCCCCTTTTTAATGCGTTTTTTGCACCTATGCAATGCAGAAAACGCATACTGACGTGAGTTTTTCTGTGTGTATGTGTATGTGTGTGCGCGCGTGTGTGTGTGTCCATGTGTGTGTATGTGTGTCCGTGTGTGCGTTGTGCATCTGTACCGCTTTTTCATTTCGAGACTTACAAAAGCTACAGGGCTGAAACTTTGGGGACCTAATATTTATGCATGTACGGGCCCGCATCCCCCAAATGTGCAGTCTTGCCCGCGTGGTACCCACGTACAGACTCGCCAAAGTTTTCTTCGGATAAGTCGCTAATTCGGGAACTAAAAGAGCTAGAAAGCTGAAATTTTAAGCAGATGCTTCCTGACAGTCTTGGCGGCCAGTCTCAATTTTTTTAGCAAGAAGCATTTGCTGGGAAAACTGGTGCCGGTGACGATAAAAACTGCGGGGAACTATAGAAAAAAAGCATCTTCGCACCGGCAGTCGGTGCGCTGACCAACTATTCAGTTTCTGTTCCCAGTTTAACTAGATCCTTCAGCCATTCTGTGGC